AACAGGGGCCGGCCCGTACACCGGTCCCCAGCGCGCCGGGCCGTCTCCGCTTACCACGCTGGATGTGATGCCGAGATAGGGCTAAACCAGGGGTCAACGGAAGCTCGTTCGAGTCAAGGGGAGGGGAGGGGTGTTGCACAGTTTTGGTTATTGTTCAAAGTCGGCACATATAGCGTCATTGTAAGATTTTCCGCTGTTTTTTGGCTCAGCTTTCATCTCCCCCTCCCCCTCCCCCCCGGTTCAGGCACTACTGGCCACAGTATATGTCAACTAGTGAATCCAGTACGTGACGCAGTCATCAAATGAATATATCAGTCGCAGCAAGTATTACGTGTGCGCAGCGTTCTACGCTGATTTAACTCATTGTGACATAGAAACAGAACGATGTTTTTTGTTAATAACATGACAATGTTGCCAAAATAAATTTTAACTTTACCGTATGCGATTAAACATCTTGATGGCGGTTCAATATGTCATAACGCACACAGACAGATGCTACAATACCAGCAGAAGATGAAACCCGAGATTGCGAATCCCCCACCCTGCGACCACTCCCGGGAATGTAAAAAAGCTGACTGAATCTGCATCGCATGTCAAATATGTCTTAATGTACTCAGATAACATCGATCCTACTCCCAACGCCGATATTGATCCACTAAGTGCACTAAAATTTACTGTTGAGTAGCGTTATGCAACATGAGGCCGCAAAAATGTGCATTTAAAAGAACATGCTGTATAAAGCTGTTTATGCCCGGGATAAGATATACGATGCTGGTGATACCACAAACAGTTGGTATGCTTCATTATATTTTATGGAAACAGCTGGCACGGTTATCAGACAGCCTAACACTAAGGCTATTCTGAATATTTTTCTCGAACGCAAATGGGTTGCGTAAACGAATATTTGCATGAGAGGCTGTGTAATGTTGACGTATTTGGAATTGTAACTATTTTCACCAACTACGTAAGTTGTAAGGACATCTGTGAGTATCATTATTTACCAGCAACAGCCCGGTTTTCTGCGATGAATGAGGTTATTGCTGCTGTCTTAGCTTTTCGCCAACTGGTCCCGCTTCAGGGAATCTATGCCAGCGTTTGAAGCCGGTGCACCAGCGGCACTGCCAGGCGCCGCCACGGTGATACCGTTCTGCTAGCTTGTTGTCACTGAGGAACAGGTCAAAGCCTTCGTTGTACAAACGGGAATTTTACCGATCTGTTGCCAGTTGGCAGGGGTTAAAAAGCTGCATGCAAAGATCGCACTCTCTTCACGGGTTCTGTGTTATGACCATGAAGCTGGAACACTTTTTCAGTATGCCGCGTCTCTTTAAGTCATTCCGGGGCATAATCAAAAGAAGATATGTACAACACCATTATACAATATGACGCGCTCCATGCTGAAACCGCGTTTTGAGACCTAAGTGTCACTGCGGGTGGGGCTCAGTTTGCGGGCGGGGCTCAGTTTGCGGGCGGATGAAGTAAGGTGAAGCCTAACCTAATTTTGGCTAACCATTTCGCAGAAAAGATTATATTACTCTATGCTCATGAAGAAAAACAAGCCAATGGTGGGCTGGTTCCCGGCAGGAACACATCATCATATCACGATACTATCATATATCATATCGCATATCATCGCCCATTGCCATCTACTTCCGGACGCGAAATACCTGCACGTCGCATACTGTGCTGTGCTGCATTCCCTTACGGCGTGCCGCCCTTCGGCGGGCGCTCCCTCATCGATAATGACCTTCGGCAGGGTCGCGACTTGATGTGTTTGGCCAGTATGGATAACCATTTTT